TCTCAGGGAATTCCCTCATGGTCCAGTGTTTAGGACTCTGTGCTTTCACTGCAGAGGGCATGGGTTTGATCTCGGGTTCAATCTCTGGTTCGGGAACTAAGATCCCACAAGCTGCATGGTGCAGCCAAAAAAAGAAAGAAAAAAAGCCCTCAAACAATCCAAACTTACACGTAAAGGAACAAGAAAAAGAAGAACAAACAAAGCCCAAAGTCAGTAGAAGGAAAAAAATAATAAAGATCAGAGTGGAAATAAATGAAATAGACTAAAATGACAATGGAAAAGATCAATGAAACTAAGAGCTGGTTCTTTGAAAAGATAAACAAAATTGAGAAACCTTTAGCTAGACTCACTAAGAAAAAAAGAGAGCACTCTGCTAAATAAAATCAGAAACAAAAGCGACTATTAACAGCAGATATCACAGAAATACAAATAATTATAAGAGAATACTAAGAACAGCTATACATCAACAACCTAGGAGACATGGACAAATTCTTAGAACCATACAACCTTCGAAGACGAATCAAGAAGAAATAGAAGGACTTCCCTGATGGTGCAGTGGTTGGGAGTCCGCCTGCCAATGCAGGGGACATGGGTTTGATCCCTGGTCTGGGAGGGTCCCACATGCTGTGGAGCATCTAAGCTATGAGCCACAAGTGCTGAGCCTGCACTCTGGAGCCCACGGGCCACAACTGCTGAGCCCACATGCCACAACTACTGAAGCCTGCACACCTAGAGCCCAAGCTTTGCAACAGGAGAAGCCACTGCAGTGAGGGGCCCACGCACTGCAGCAAAGAGTGGCCCCTGCTGGCCGCCCCTAGAGAAAGCCTGTGTGCAGCAACGAAGACCCAATGCAGCCAAAAAATAATAAAAATAAATAAATTTTAAAAAAAGGAACTAGAAAATCTGAATAGACAAATCACTAGTAAAGAGATTGAAACAGTAATCAAAACCTTCCAAAAAAAAAAAGTTCAGGACCAGGTGGCTTCACTGATATATTCTATTAAACATTCAAAGAAGATTTAATACCTATTCTTCTCAAACTCTTCGAAAAACTTGAGGAGAGAACATTTCCTAACTCAATCTATGAGGCCAACATTACTCTGATAACAAAGTGAGACAAAGACAACACACAGAAAAAGAAATTGCAAGCCAATATTTTTGATGAACATAGATGCAAAAATCCTCAACAAAATATTAGCAAACCAAATACAACAATACAGGAAAAGAATCATACACCATGATCAAGTGGGATTTATTCCAGGGATGCAAGGACGGTTTAACATCTGCAAATCAATCAACGTGATATATCACATTAGCAAAATGGAGGATAAAAACTGTATAATCATCTCAATAGATGCAGAAAAGCATTTAATAACATTCAACCCCTATTTATGATAAAAACTCTCAATAAAATTACTATAGAAGGAACACACCTCAACATAATAAAAGCTATATAAACCCACAGCTAACATCATACTCAAATTTGAAAACCTGAAAGCTATCCCCCTAAAATCAGGAACAAGATGAGAATGCCCACTCTTGCCACTCTTAACATAGTATTGGAAATCCTAGCCAGAGCAATTAGGCAAGAAAAAGAAACGAAAAGCATTCAAATTGGAAAGGAAGAAGTAAAACTCTCACTATTTACAGATTACATGATTTTATAGATAGAAAATTCTAAAGACTTCACCAAAAAAACCTGTCAGAAATAATAAATGAATACAGTTGCAGGGTACAAAATCAACATACAAAAATCTGTGGTGTTCCTATATATGCTAACAATCAGCTAGCAGAAAGGGAAATTAAGAAAATATCATTTACAGTTGCAACAAAAAGATTAACCACCTAGGAATAAATTTAACCAAGGAGATGAAAGATCTGTACACTGAAAACTATGACATTGTTGAAAGAGACTGAAGAAGACATAAATGGAAAGATACTCCGTGCTAATAGATTAGAAAAATTAACATTTACCTAGAATAATCTACATGTTCAATGCCTATTATTCAGTCCCTATCAAATATTCAGTCCCTATTAAATCCCAAGGATAGTTTTACAGAAATAGATCAAACAATTCTAAAATTTATGTGGAATCACAAAAGACCCCAAAGAACCAAAGCAATCCTAAGAAAAAAGAACAAAGGTAAAGGTATCACACTCCCAGATTTCAAACTATATTACAAAGCTATAGTAATCAAAACAGCATGATATTGGCAGAAAAATAGTTACATAGATCAGTGGAACAGAATCCAGAGCCCAGAAATAAACCCACACATGTATGGACAATTAATTTATAACAAAGAAGCGAAGAACGTACAATAGAGAAACAATAGTATCTTTAATAAATGGTGTTGGGGGCTTCCCTGGTGGCGCAGTGGTTGAGAGTCTGCCTGCCGATGCAGGGGACACGGATTCGTGCCCCGGTCCGGGAAGATCCCACATGCCGCGGAGTGGCTGGGCCAGTGAGCCATGGCCGTTGAGCCTGCGCATCCGGAATCTGTGCTCCACAACGGGAGAGGCCACAACAGTGAGAGGCCCGCATACCTCAAAAGAATAAAAAAAAAAATAAATGGTGTTGGGAAAACTGAATAGCCACATGCAAAAAAAAAAAAAAAAAAAAAAAAAAAAAAAAAAGGGTGTTGGAAAAACGAAAAAGCCCCATGAAAAAAAAAAAAAAAAAAAAAAACCACTAAGTCACACCATACACAAAACTCAAAATGCATTAAAGACTTGAATGTTAGACCTGAAACCATAAAACTTGTAGAACAAATCATAGGCAGTATACTTCTTGACATTAGCCTTAGCAATATCTTTCTGGATATGTGTCCTCAGGCAAGGGAAACAAAAGCAAAAACAAACAAATGGGACCTCATCAAACTAAAAAGCTTTTGCACAGTGAAGGAAACTTTCCGCAAAATACAAAGACAACCTGACGAATGGGAGAAGATATTTGCAAATCATATATCCAATAGGGGTTAATATGCAAAATATATACAGAGCTCATACAACTCAACAACAAAAAAATCCAATTAAAAACTGGGCAGAGAAGCTGAATAGACATTTTTCCAAAGAAGACGTGCAGGTGGCCAACAGGCACATGAAAAGATGCTCAACATTGCTAATTGTTAGAGAAATGCAAATCCAAACCACACAAGTTTATCACCTCACACCAGTCAGAATGGCCATCATCAAAAAGTCTACAAATAATAAATGCTGGAGAGATATGGCCCAGCAATCCCACCACTGGGCATATACCCAGAGAAAACCATAATTCAAAAAGACACATGCACCCCAAAGGTCATTGCAGCACTATTTACAATAGCAAGGTCATGGAAGCAACCTAAATGCCCATCGACAGGCGAATGGATAAAGAAGATGTGGTACATAGATACAATGGAATATTACTCAGCCATAAAAAGGAACGAAACTGGGTCATTTGTAGAGACGTGGATGGATCTAGAGACTGTCATACAGAGTGAAGTAAGTCAGAAAGAGAAAAACAAATATCGTATATTAACGCACATATGTGAAACCTAGAAAAATGGTACAGATGAACTGGTTTGCAGGGCAGAAATTGAGACACAGATGTAGAGAGCAAACATATGGACACCAAGGGGGAAAGTGGTGGGGGTGGGGGTGGTGGGATGAACTGGGTGATTGGGATTGACATGTATACACTGATGTGCATAAAATTGATGACTAATAAGAACCTGCTGTATAAAAAAATAAATAAAATTCAGAAAACAAATGCTGGAGAGGATGTGGAGAAAAGGGAACCCTCCTATACTGTTGGTGGGAATGTAAATTGGTGCAGCCACTATGGAAAACAGTATGAAGATTCCTCAAAAATAAAGAATAAAACTACCATATGGTCCAGCTAGTCCACTTCTGGGTATTTACCCAAAGAATAAGAAAATACTAATTTGAAAAGATATATGCACCCCTATGTTCATCACAGCATTATTTACAATAACCAAGATATGGAAGCAACCTAAGTGCCTGTGAATGGATGAATGGATAAAGAGAATGTTTTATATGTTTACAATGGAATACTACTGTCATATAAACAAGATGAAATCTTGCCATGGGCAGCAACATGGATGGGTGGATCTTAATCTTTTTTTTTTTTTTTTTTTTCTTGCGTTATGCGGGCCTCTCACTGCTGTGGCCTCTCCCATTTGCGGAGCACAGGCTCCGGACGCGCAGGCTCAGCGGCCATGGCTCACGGGCCCAGCCGCTCCGCGGCATGTGGGATCCTCCCGAAACGGGGCACGAACCCGCGTCTCCTGCATCGGCAGGCGGACTCTCAAGCACTGCGCCACCAGGGAAGCCCGGATGGGTGGATCTTGAGGGTGTTATGCTAAGTGAAGTAAGATGGGGAAAGACAAATATATGATTTCACTCATACATGGAAAAAACTCAAAATAAATGAACAGAATAAGTGAAATGGGTAAAGGGGATGAACTGTATGGTGAGGAATGGAAACTAAAGATTTGGTGGTGAGTATGCTATAGGGTATACAGAAGTAGAAATATAATGTTGTACACATGAAACTTACATAATGTTATAAACGAGTGTTACCTCAATAGAAAATAAACTTTTAAAAAAGGCTTTGCAGACTAAGGTGATGGACAAATCTGCTTTAATTCATTTGAAGTCAAAGAAAGTTATATGTATTCAGAAAAGTTTGTGTCATAGAAAATGGTGAGAGTACCCAAGTTTAATTTTTCCTCCGTAAAAGTAAGTGTAATACATATCTCTATCATACACCTACTGTTTGTGCTCTGCTGTGCTATTAGGTGCTGTACATACATTCAGCAATTAATACTTAAGTATTTTTGTTAATTAGACATCAGTATTGGAAGTAGATGTTGTCATTGTTATTTCAGAACAGAGAATACCAAACTAGGGATCTTGGATTCAAGGCCAGACCTCAAAGCTCATGACCCTTCTACTCTTTCATGCTTATTTTATTTATTATAATTTACAGATTGCACGTTCTTCAAAAGGAATACAGAATTCTACAGATATTCCTGAGATGTCAGTCAGGCACCAAAAGGAAGTCGCAGTGGAGGGGAGGAAGAGTCCAGAGATTGTCTCAACTTGGTCTCCGACAGGCATTTCTTGGAGTGGTGGAGCATCTTGGGAGGACTGCATGACACCCGACAGAGAGCAGAGCTTGGAAAGCTCACAACCTCTGGAAGAGGACATGGCTTTAAATGAAGTCCTACGAAAATTAAAACGTACTAACAAAGAACAGCAAACTCTGATCCAAGACCTACAGCATCGTAACATGTATTTAGAGAAGAAGATTGAAGAACTGCAGATGAAGACAACTAAACAGCACGTGTTCGTGGACATCATCAATAAGCTAAAGGAAAATGTTGAAGAATTAATTGAAGACAAATACAGAGTAATGCTAGAGAAGAATGATACACAGAAGAAATTGCAGAATTTGCATGAGATTTTAGTTAACACCCAAAAACATCTTCAGGAATCCAGGAATGAAAAGGAAACCTTACAGCTAGAGTTTAAGAAGATCAAGGGCAATTATGTTAGTTTACAGGAAAGGTACATGACTGAAATGCAACAAAAAAATAAAGCTGCAAATCAGTGCATGGAGATGGACAGAGCCTTAAGCAAGAAAGAAGAAGAGGTAGAGAGGCTGCAGCAACTCAAAGGAGAACTGGAAAAGGCCACCACTTCTGCCCTGGACTTGTTGAAAAAGGAAAAAGAGACCCGAGAACAAGAGTTCCTGTCTTTACAGGAGGAATTTCAGAAACGTGAAAAGGAAAACCTGGGTGAAAGACAGAAACTGAAATCTAGACTTGAGAAATTGGTCGCTCAAGTTCAAAATTTGCAGTTCATATCTGACAATGAAAAGGCTAAGAATACAGAACTCCAGCAGCAGATCAACAAAGTAAAAAATGAAAACTCAAAACTTCAGCAGCAGGTTGCAAGGAGTGAGGAGCAAAATTATGTTCCTCAATGTGAGACAGCTCAACTCAAGGAGAACTTAGAGGAAGGAACAGAGTCAGATATGGCAAAGGTATTATCACAAATTCAGAATCTCTAATGCAGAATTTCTAGTAGTCTGGAGTTTCTAGTAGTCTTCTGATGCATATTTGGGCATGGCCCATATACAAATTTGTTGGCAGAGAGTCATTAACAAAAAAGAGAGAAAGGAAAATGCACCACAGATTTGGAGAAGTTTCTTTGGTTCTTGGGTACTCACATTAAAGAACAGCCATTCCTGGCCTCTTGTGATGATTTTGGTAGTGGTGAAAATTAATGTGGGAATTTTGTGGGTTCCTATGACCAATCATCCGGAGCATCCTTTGAGAAAAGATTTTCTAAGTGGGGGTCGCAATCTTTTCATACCACATCTACCTATTCAACAAACTAAATAATACAATTGAATATTTGGTTTACAAGGTAAAACAAACCTATATTGTATCACATAGTAATTTTGTAAAGTTATTTTTATTGAGATGTAGTTGACATATAACATTATATTAGTTTCAGGTATACAACATAAAGATTTGATATTTGTATATATTGCAAAATGATCATCATAATATATCTACTTAACATTCATTAAAAACAACATGAGAGCCTCATATCAATGTGTTTGGAAAGGCTGTAATTTTGTATTTGCAGTTCAAATGGCTTTTTTGGCAGAGAGCCTGGAAGCATGGCCTGGTAGTGATAATCTTCCCAAGCCAGAGCATATCTGTTCTATTTCAGTTTTGTAGGCCTGCCTTAAAGTATTTATAGTATTCAATCTTATTAACTCTGACTGCTTAGAAGGCTAATCTAAACTACAAAAACGTATGTTTATTTTTATATTTGTCGTAATAACTTAGGCTGAGCTGATCTGTTGCTTTAAGGTGTTCTTAGAGGACTCTCTTTCATGAATCTGTAATCAGTATAAGTATTGCTTGCAAGTAAATCTATTATTTTTAATGACTCAGAAGAATATTCTCTTATTAAAAAATTCTCTCTATGATCTTTTCTCCAGAAAGAAGGAAGGACTATCTAAGTCAGTGTGGTTCTCAAACTTTAGCATTCTTCAGCATCAGCTGTGAAAATGCAGATTGCTGGGGCCCACCCAGATTTTCTGATTCAGTAGGTGTGCAGCAGGGCCTGAGAATGTGCATTTCTAAGAAGATACTGGACCTCACTGATGCTTCTGGTCCAGGGATCACACTTTGAGAACCACTAACCTAAACAAAGATGACCTTAAGTTTAGCTGTTAGCCAAATCACGGCAAGTTTTGAATTAGCAAACACTGAGTAAATTAGTGTAACTATGCAGAAGTTTATCCAGTATACAATTTTTTTCTTGAGCTTTCTTCTTTAAAAAGCAATGAAATTCCTTGTTCTATCTTGACTAATCAATTTCTTTACTCTGCTTTTAGTTTTGCTTTTCATTACCTTTAGGTCCATTTTCCCAAAGTGTGTTCCAGGAGTATCTTTGAGGTCAAAAGCATTTTCATGGTAATAAATACGAAGACATTAATGCCTTTTTCACTCTCATTCTTTCACAAGTGTACAGTGGAGTTTTCCAGAAGCTATGTGACATGTGGTGGTGTAATTGCTTTTCATGGCTGATGGAAAGTGGGAAGCACATATGAGAATCCAGCTATCTTCTATTAAGTTAGCATTAAAAATATTTGCAAAAAGTGTAAACACTGCCACTCTTTTCACTAATTTTTCATTTTGGAAAATGTGCCAACTTTGTATTAAATTGTTACTTACATTGACACATAATAGATTTATTGTCATTTGAATTAGTAAACATTTTTGAATGTTCTCAGTTGTAATTTCAGTACAATAAATATTGATATAACTGATAAATATAAATATTGTAGTTTCTAATACAATAAGTATTGATAGTTATAACCTAGTAAACAAAAAGTTTTGGGGATCCTCAATAATTTTTAAGAGCATGAAGGCATCCTGAGGATCAAAAAGTTTGAGAACCACTGCTCTGAGTTTTTAAGAGTGGTATTTTATTCAGCATTTTACCTAAAAAGTAATCCAGATTCTTTGTCTTTATTGTGACAAATCTGAATTGTGTATATGTAGGGTGCAAAGATGATACATTCTAATTTGTTCCTGAATCACTCACCTTGTGAAGGAGAGAGCCCAAATCCCCCAGACGTGAAAAGAACTTCACAGCTGACCTCCAAAATTCGCAATCTTCTGGCTCTGATGGTACAACTTCTCATGTGCCAGGTAATTATAAAAAATCATATTTTTTACTGGGAGAAGAAATATCAAGGTTGGACAATTAAGTTGTGAAAGAAAAAAAATGGAAGTAAAAATACAGATCCTTAAACCAACCAATCAGCCCTTCCTTCTTCCCACTGCTGCTTTCTTTCTTCAACACCTAATTCCCACAAATCTATAGTAAGATAATATAATAAGATTAAAAAAATAAAAACTTGAGGCAAAACCCTTCCCTCAGTGCTTTCCACATTTCAGGAAAACTTCCTCAGAGTAATAGTCTTGGGCTTCGGGGCAGCCTGTGATGAGAGGTTGTTCACACAAATGAGCTGTTTACCCGATCTAAAAATACAGCTTTGGGGCAGGGGTCGGGCAGTGCAGAGCTGTGTACATTAATTAGTAGAATGAAAAATGAAGTTAGTGTCTGGTGAATTCAAGGCACGGCTTCACCACCTCACTGCTGTGTGACCTGGCCAAGTGAATTTTCCTTTCTCAGCCTTAGCTGAAATGATATGTGCTGCTGCGCTGGGAGGTTGCAAACACTACATTTGAATGAGAGAACCTTTTAAGGGCATATATGACGCTTGATAGCTTCTCAGTTATTGAGCTCTCTTTCTTCCTCTTCCCTCTGATCATTGTACGTTTCTTTGAGCTTCAGTGCACTCCTCTGAGCCAAAATTTGGGGACATGAGTTTGTGATGTTCCTGATCCAACACAACCGTTATTCCTACTTTCTTTTAGCTAAAATTTGCTGCACACTAGCATTTATTGAATGCTGGAAACCAAGCTAAGCATTTTTAGCAGTGATCACAAAGTGGTGGCCCATAGACTGTATCCACCTGAAGTTTTGTCTTTAATATTTGAATTTGAATATGGCACAAACTCTTTGCTGTAACCTTTTCCACCCCACCTTGCCCCTTCAGACATCTGCTTTCTTATATTTGCTTGGCTTTTCTCGTCTCACTGGAGGCTGCTGTTCTTTCTCAGGCTTATTTGCTGGCTGCTGCTTCTCTACAAGACCTCTCAGTCAGGGAGTGAGTCATCAGCCCTCTTCTTAGTAGATCTCATCCCAGGCCAAACAAATATCTGTTTGCTTAAGCCTTCAAGATCAGAGACTCAATATGTCAGATGCCCTCTGCCTAATGCAGGGTAATCCCTTACCAGGCACTCAAAAACTATTTCCTGACTTCCCAACCTGTCCTTGGAGGCATTTAAGTTGACCCTGCTTTTCATGGGTTATCTCATTCAATTCTCACACCATTTTTTACATTATCAGACTTTTTTTTTCTAACACGGAAAAACAAACCGAGGCTCAGAATTATTGAGTTTCTTGTCCAAAGTCAAGTGGTTAAGTGACAGAACTCAGATGGTTAACTGATAGCTCAGATACAAACCCAAGTAGTCTGACTGTAATGCATGCACTTTTGACTCTTTGGTTATATTGGTACAAGTATCTTCATTCTTGTGAAATGTGGGTGCCACTGAAATATCTAGAGTTTCAGTATTGTTGAGGATGTCTGATTGTTCTGGTGTCAGGTATAACAATTTGTCTAAAATTTGGATTTGTAAACTGACTAGGCTAAGAGCAGATGTATGTATAAGTATATAAGCATATGTAGTTATTAACTTCCCAGTGACTATACTGATTTGTCCCAATAACAATTTATATACAAGTGTGAATCTATATGAAGTCTTTCCACATTAACCCTTTATTAGATGGCTTATGATGAGTAATTGAAGAATTGAGTTCAATATGATTTTATCTCCTTTTGTTTAGCCACTTATTTTGGAAGGGAGATTTATTTCATTTGTGTTCTTTCCTTCCTCCTTTTAGCTTTACTGATAACTTTTTAATATAGCTTCTCAAAATGTTACCCTTAGGACATCACCAATCCCGATGCCAGACATTTCAAAGAGAATGAGAAAGTTAATGATATCATACTACAAAAATTGAAGAGTTTTCATCTTAAAAAGAAAAAGTTAGATAAAGAGGTACTGTATGTATTCCTCATTCTAAAAATTGTATCATTTTTAGTGAAAAAAAGACAAAGAAAAAGGTCATGTAAAAGTATAAAGAGGCTCCTAAAATTTTGGATTTTTTTAAAGAATTATTTTGGGGGACAAGATTAGCTTTACTTTGGCCCTCACTAAGGAGATACACTGTTCAACATTTGACTTGTTTTATAACATAAGTATGTATTAGAAAATCTCATTCATCTACCAAAATATTGGTATGATTATTTTTTCACTTTTGTATGGTACTACTGATTCCTGAAGAAGAGCGTATTTTGACATTTCTATAGTGATTACAAACTTTATCATTTGGAATAATGAATACATTGAAAACAAATTTTATTTCTCAAGTGGGACAAGGGTAAGGGAAGAGGCTCTTGGAATTTCTTCAATCATTCTTTTCTTGGTGTAGTGGTGCAGAGATGGAGAGAGAGAATGAAGAGAGTCAGTTTTTTTTTTTTTTTTTTTTCTTGCGTTATGCGGGCCTCTCACTGTTGTGGCCTCTCCCATTTGCGGAGCACAGGCTCCGGATGCGCAGGCTCAGTGGCCATGGCTCACGGGCCCGGCCGCTCCGCGGCATGTGGGATCCTCCCGAAACGGGGCACGAACCCACGTCTCCTGCATCGGCAGGCGGACTCTCAAGCACTGCGCCACCAGGGAAGCCCGAGAGTCAGTTTTACAGAGAAAGTGATAACAGGACGTGAAGGTGTGTGCTTTTAATCTGAAAGGAATACAGAAGTGACTAATTTATCTGGCTAAAGGAATAAAAACGTATTTAAATCTGGGATTCAATTTCAGTGCTGCATTATCAGGAAATGACTTCTCTGAACTGAGGTGGTTAGAAGATTTGTTGCAGGTATTCTCCAGAATCTCTGTCTCTTAGCTAACCTCTAGAGAAAAGGACTAAGAAATAAACAGACATGCAGAGAAACTACTGGCCTCCACTTCTTAAACCAGTCTTCAGAAATAAGCCCAGTTGAGGATTCGAGCAGGATGTTACAAAAATTCCATTTCAGATATTTATGTTCTCTTGGTAAATTTCTGTGTCATTCCTGTAATACTGGCAGATGAAATAATATGATGCATGTAATTTGATTCAGTGAAGGGAGTTGCAGGGAGGAGGAAGTGGCTGGAGTATTAATGATACAAGGCTGACCGTTAACTATTAGTAGTTGAAACTGGATAATAGTTACATGGGCGTCCATTAAAGTTTTTCCTCTTTTTTGGAAAGTGTTCATAGTAAAAAAAAAAATATTCTGTGCAGCCCTCACTAATATTTGGAGAAGTTAGAATATTGAATGTTACGATTTATTGTTATTACATGGAACAAACAAATGAACAAAGAAGAAATGACTATAAATTGCATCTAGAAAAAGTTGGCTAATTTTTTTTCTTTAAAGAAGAATTTTAATAGCCTGGCTATAAAAACAATTGAATATTAGGATAAGCTCTCTGGAGATCCCAAGTCCACACTCAGGTTTAATGATTTACTGGACTCACAGGGCTCAGCACATAGTTGTTCTCACAACTATGATGTATTATTACCGTGAGAGGATACAGAGCAAAATCAGTAAAGGGAAAATGCACATAGGGCAAAGTCCAGAGGAAACCAGATCCAAGCTTCCAAGAGTTCTTTCCCAGTGAGTCACACAGGGTGCACTTCCTTTTGCCAGCAGTGACCTGTGCAGCATGCGTGAAATGTTCCCGATGATGCTTATTGGAGACTGAGTGTCCAGGGTTTTGATTAGAGGCTGGTTGGGTAGGTGCCCTCTGCCTGCCACGTACCAAAATTCCAGACCCTCCCGAAGGAAAGGGGTGTTCAGCATAAATGTTCTTTGTACAAATAGGTTAGGCACAGTGAGCCTTCATATCAGGAAATGATGGAAACCTTCCCACAATCCAAGTTCCTAGATGCCAATCAGAGGGCAGTCTGGCGAGCAGGCCTTTCTAAGGACAGCAGTCTCAGGCCTGCTGTGTGAACTTTCTGCTACACAAGAGCTTTAAAAACAAGACACCTTTGGAGACCAGGGATTGGACTGTGCATGGTTTGGTGACTTTATTATAAATGTTATGGAATGTAGTTTTATTTCCTCTCCTTCTCTGAAATAGAAAATGCTTTTTTCCTTAGCTATTGAAACATAAAGACAGAATCACAGCTTTCAGAGAGTTAATTGCTAATGAAAAATCATTTCAAGATCAGGTTACTGAGGTGAGTTAAACATTCACTATGTACTGTCTTTAACATACAAAAATACAATTTTAGATACTTTTAACATTGAAGTCATTCTGACTCCAAGTTCTACACATCTGTTATTGAAACCACTGGAGATCTCTCTGATGGTTAAACTAATAACATATTCATTGTCAAATGTTCCAAGGAGTGTGAACATACTGGAAGTGAGTACAAATATATTTCATCTCAGGTTACAGACTTTGATTCAAATGAAGCCAAGAATGTCAGAGAGGTACCTGTCTTACTGGGAGCCAAACTGGATCAGTACCACAACCTAAATGAAGAGCTTGATTTCTTGGTAAGAAACACCTTTTGTTGCTTTGCTAGCATTTTTATATTCAACACGATTTTATTAACAAGTTCAGGAAATTATCAACCTTCAAAAATTTTGCGCATTGAAATGGTCACACACTGGCGTAGTAGCAGCATTATTCACCCACAAAAATATACAATTGAAGTTTACATTTTCAGGTTTTGAAATTTTAAATATTGTCCCACCTGATTTCTGTTTAATCAGATTTTTTTCCTTTCAAAATGCAGAAATTTTCAAATATGTGCAGTTTTTCATAGTGGATGGAGCACATTTATATTGTTGCATATGCTACCACTATTCTTATAGCAGCAGGTATCTACAGCAATCATGATTAAGGGATGTGCTTTGGAAAATGGCACTCATACTTTAGATGGCATCTAAAGATAAAGGCATCACAAGGAAAATGGTAATTATGTGAGGGGATGGAGGTGTTAGCTAAGCTATAGTGGTAATCATTTTGCAATGTATAAGTGTATCAAATCAACATGTTGTATACCTTAAACTTACACAGTGTTATATCAATTATATCTCAATAAACCTGGAAAATTTAAGATAAAGGCAGATAAAACAGAAAAAATACGTAGGAAGAACATAAAAATATCTTGGTATTTAGAGAGTTACAGCCCATTTGGATCCCACCTTAATTAAAAAGTGGTTAACATAATTTATTTTTTAACAGAGAAGTCTATCATCATATTTCTGAATTATTAAAAATCAGGGAATTCCCTGGCAGACCAGTGGTTGGGACTCAGTGCTTTCACTGCCAAGGACTCAGGTTCAAACCCTGGTCGGGGAACGAAGATCCTGTGAGCCGAGCAGTCTGGCAAACTAAATAACTAATTTAAATTAATTAATAATTAAAATCGGCATTCTGTACTAAATTCATTACATACCCATTCATCTTTAAGAGAGAAAAAAAAGTCCAACGTGGTGAGGGCTTAAAGGGTTCTTCTTTTCTAATTTGTTCATTTTTTTCATTAAATAAGTAATTGTTGACTTCCCACGAAAGGTTAAGCAGGGCTAGTCGCTATGAAGATAGAAAGATAAATCAAGCATGAGCTCTGGGCTTCCCTGGTGGCGCAGTGGTTGGGAATCCGCCTGCCAATGCAGGGGACATGGGTTCGAACCCTGGTCCAGGAAGATCCCACGTGCAACGGAGCAACGAAGCCCTTGTGTCACAACTGCTGAGCCTGCGCGCTAGAGCCTGTGAGCCACAACTACTGAAGCCCACATGCCTAGAGCCCGTGCTCCGCAACAAGAGAAGCCACCTCAATGAAGAGTAGCCCCCGCTCGCCACAAGTAGAGAAAGCCCACGCGTAGCAAAGAAGACCCAACGCAGCCAAAAATAAATAAATTTATTAAAAAAACAAACAAACATGAGTCCTGCTTCCAAGGAACCTAGAAAAGTAGATGCAATACATAGGTAATTATTTACGGGGACTAAAGGGAACATTTTTAAAAAAGAGATATACAGTGACAAGCATCTGACAGAGGAGATCAGAGGAGGAACCGATGGCATCCTGGTGGGAGAAGCACAGAGGACGGTGACCGGACTGTTAGTGGGCGGATGAGAGGAGGGCACGTGGTAAGCTCTGGCTCCATCACCAGTTTCAGTGCTTCAGGCATAAAAAGGATGGGAGTGGACCTTAATCTTCCCCGGGTGGGAAGCTGGAGTGAGGAAAAGGACACAAACGGAAGCGCTCAGACACACTATGTCGCTTTTAACATGTGCTGCAGACTTTCTTGTACAAACCGTATCTCAGAGAAACCAAATAATTGATGAGGGAGAGGTCTTCATGGAAGAATGTAAGCTATTAAAAGCAAGAGAAGACACACCTGCAGAAAATTACATTTTGCATCCCTGAATAAAATAAGGAATCCAGGCAATTACAATGGCTGCCAAAACCTGTAAGTTCAAGGCTCATAGGAACCTGTTAATGACCAACACCAGAGCCCTCTCATCTGCATCAACCACATGAAAGGTGAGACATGCCCCTGACGGGATGCAGGAAGGAACGGGGCACTGTGCGTGAGGTGTTCTCACCTGAACCACCTGTTCTTAAAGCAAGCTTCTAGACCACACGACCAGCTGACAGGATAAAGAACCATATTAAGTTGACCATGATAAAAATCCAGAACATGAGAAATTCTAATCCATAACAGTTGGCACAAGGAAGGGGAGGGAGAGGAGAGGAAGAGCTGTTCTAGACTCAGAGGTTAGAGACTTGAGACAAATCAAGCAGACGCATCGTGTGTAGATCCTGGCTTGAACACACCCACTTCACAAAGATACTTGTGAGATAGCAGCAGAAAACCGAACACAGTCTGGGTGTTAGATGCTATTGAGAATTTATTGTTAATTTTAATAGATGTGATAGTGGTATCATTGTGTTTTTAAAAGCTCTTGTCTGTTAGTGATACATACTGAGAAGTGTTTATGAGTGAACTAACATGATGGCTAGCTTTACTTTAAAATACTCCAAGAAATTTAAAAGGTGGCAGAGTGAGAGTGGGGGGAGGGAAGTTGGAGACAGATGAAAAAATACTGGAAAAATGTTGATAATTGTTGAAGTTAAGTGATGGGTACATGGAGGTTCGTTATACTACTCTCTCTACTTTTGTATGTGTTTTGGAATTTTCCAGAGTAAAAAGGGCTTTAGTTTTGTTCTTTGCTTTTGAAATGCCAAAGTGTGCTCTAGAAGGCTCACTCCTCATTCTCCAAGGAACTCTAGGCCAGGAAGACTAGGTCTGCCAGAGTTAAATTTGGTGGCTTGCACCTCTTCTCATGCTTTCTCAGGTACAGCTCCTGTGGTCCTTCTGACCCCTTGCCTTTGGTTCTTCACAATTTCTGATCTTGTTGGCTGTTCCAGGAACCTCCTGACCTCCTCCATCCTGAGACAGGACCCCAGCTTTGCCTTCCTGCTGGCTCTAGCCAGCTGGATGTTTAAATTTCAAGTACAAACTGTCTCCTGGTCCTATAAGGCCTTGGTAAGGTACACCAAAGTCAGGGATTTGGTCAGAGGGGAGAGGCAAGAGTCCAGTTAACACTGCTGACATTCCGGGTTCAAGGGGGGCTAATAAGATTGACCCCTCAAGTTCCTCCTAGATCCCATCTTCTGTAAAATAGGAACCTTTTAATAAAAATAAGATAGTCTTTTTTTAATTTTTATTTTATATTGGACTATAGTTGATTAACAATGTGTTAGTTTCAGGTGAACAGCAAAGCAATTCAGTTATACATATACACATAAAAAGTAAGATATTCTTTAACCAGTATTATAGAAGATATCCTTTAACCATTATTGTAGAATAGTTGAAGATTAAAAACTAAAATACTGGCTTCCCTGGTGGCGCAGTGGTTGAGAATCCGCCTGCCGATGCAGGGGACGTGGGTTCGTGACCCGGTCTGGGAAGATCCCACATGCCATGGAGCAGCTGGGCCCGTGAGCCACGGCTGGTGAGCCTGCGCATCTTTAGCCTGTGCTCCGCAACGGGAGAGGCCACAACAGCGAGAGGCCCGCGTACCGGAAAAAAAAAAAAAAAAAAAGCTAAAATACTATCCTAAGATATACCACTTCACTTTAGCACTCTATATATTACATAAAACACTTTAGCACTCTATATATTACATAAAACATTACATAAAACATTACATACTTAATTTGGGCTTCCCTGGTGGTGCAGTGGTTAAGAATTCGCCTGCCAATTCAAAGGACACGGGTTCAAGCCCTGGTCCAGGAAGATCCCACATGCCGCAGAGCAACTAAGCCTGTGTGTCAAAACTACCGAGCCTGTGCTCTATAGCCCGTAGCTGTAACTGCTGAGCCCGTGTGCCACAACTGCTGAAGCCCATGCACCTAGAGTCTGTGCCCTGCAGCAAAGAGTAGCCTCTGCTCGCCGCAACTAGAGAAAGCCCGCACGCAGCAACGAAGACCCAGCACAGCCAAAAGCAAAAAACAAAAAACCCATTTACCTAATTTATTATTTTGGTAGCCTTTAAAATTAGAAGTTTGTTAACTTAAAAAGAAATACTCAGAAGGAAGCATCATATATATATATAATTTTTATTTTCATGTTATGTCCTAGAGCCATAAAACTAAGAAAACAACAAATATGTAAAGCAGAAAATTACTACTCTAGGAAAATTTTTCTAAGTATTCCAAAAGAAAATAACCATAGTCCCTTGTCTCATGATCCCTCTGAACTATGAACCATACCTGCCAGCTCCTGGATTTGGACACAGTATCACCTTGAGTATACTTTACATTGGTGTTACTGACCAATCTCCTGAGGAAGGGTCTGGGTTCACTAGGATTCAGGTCATACAGGTGAGAGGACTGACCCACCAGGTGGAACCCCAGCTCCTCGGTTTCCAGAGAAGATGTCAACCTTACCACCTATTTCCTTGTTTTCCCAAGCTCCCTGGGCATTCCTCTGATGCTCTGACCCTATTCCTCACCTTCCTGGTTCTGATTTCCCTAAATCCTATTCTATAGCCAGTGCAAGAAACAATATTTGCGCTGCAGACCGTTTTCAGAGGATATAACCTCAATCTATCTGCCGACCAGCTCTTAGGAGGAGCGTGTGTAAGGACTCCTGTATCTCTGAAGGGTTATTTGTGCCATTCTGTCATTCCTCTAGCAGTAACCTGCAGTAAAAACACATTTTACATCTTGATCAGATATCTATATGCCCACACACAGAAGAAACACAGTTTCCTATTCTATCCTGTTCTATTCCATTTTTTGTGTGCGTGTTGTTCATATATTCATTTCAATACTTATCGAATCACAACCTGGATCATGTTTGTTACCAGAAAGCTGCTGCTTGGAACACGCTATCTTGGCCCTCACAGAATTGCTTTTACTGAGTTGTGTTTTGGTGTTTTATGCCCTCAACAATCCTAGGAAACATCTTTTTCCATTTGTTGTAAAAAGATTGCTGCTTCCCTGAGTGCCACTTGGATGAGAACATCCTTTGAGACT